AATCATCCATAATNAAAAACATCATTTTTATTGTGAAAATTCATTTCTATAATAGTCATAATCAATTGGTATCAAAAATAGGATTTTAGAACTCAAAAATAGCAATTTCAGACAAATTTTCGGACCAGAGTTTCGGAGGATCGATCCAGCCCTCTGGATCGATCAAACTAGAAGAAAAACTCCCAGATGATCGATCCAATGAACAGGATCGATCCCCATGTGGATTTCCAGCAACTGTTCATTCGTCTTCAACCTCGGTCCATTTTTCGGGAAAACCATTTTTAGTCACCGAACTTCAATTAAACTATATAGAGATGTTCTCCAAGGTTCATAGGTCATTTTAGAATTATTAAAACATATTTTTAACATCAAATTCAAGGTTTATGATTCTTGGTTCTTCAAACATGTCAAACACAAAACTCAACCAAATAACCATTTATGAACGTAGAAACGACCTATATGAACATTCTAGTCATTAGATATATCTACGGGCTTACCTTGAAGCATAAGGAAGGTTTCGATGATTTTCCGGCGAAACTTCCGGCGACTCTATCTCACTGCTCCAGCGACCTCACACAAAGATGACAGCACCACTGCATTCTACACACTCAAAGCTAACTCTCAGAAGTGATTTGGGAAGAAATGGGTGGGAAGAGGTGGTCCTTATATAGCCTTAGTGAAGAGGAAGCAGACACGGTGATGACCTCCATTTTACTGTTTCGGCGGCTGAGTGGAGTGGGCTGCTATCTTCTCCGATTCTAAACGTAAGTCCCTGATTGGGACTAAATTGGTCCCAGTCCGAGAACACTTTTTGGTCCAACTTTCTCCAAATTGAAATCCGATTGAACCGTTGGAGTCAGACAGTCAAACTCTACATAACGATACAGTTTTTATTAATTATTGACAAACTTTAGAATTTACTTATTTTTGGGTCCTTCTCAGTAATTAATTATTTATCAATTAATTAATTCTGATAGGCCTATTTTCGGGGCGTTACATACAGCACGATTCTTCTCATTTTTATCATCCACTCTCAACCCAATTTTGGGTTCCACTCTCCCAATTGCTTAAAATATTTTGTATATTAGTTTAAGTAGTAGTTTTAGAGTATTTCCGGAGGATTTGACTCCAGATCTGTTCTGTCTTGCTTTTACGGAGGTTGTAAGTTTCCTTTATTTAATAAAATGCTATTTTAATTTATGTTTGCATAGTATGAGTTAGGGTCCGGATCTCTAGGTCCGGACTAGTTTGGTTGTTTATTTTTTTTATGTTAAATTAATGTTGGAATGGTTAATCTATTGTTCTTGCCTTATTTAGTTAATTCAACTCGAAAGATTTAATTGGCCATTTATTGAGAAAATATTGTATGCCAAAAGGCTATGATATTCAAGTGCAACGGATTAAGTACAAATCTAGAAATGGATGAGTAGTAATAGAAATATTATTATTCCAACTTTTAATTTAATATGATAAAATAGATCCAAATGATGTCTAGACCCTAGGTCCAGATCTATACTTATACTATGTAAAATTTATTTATTATTTTTACTCTGCTCCCTTTTTATAATCATTTCGAGAAGACTTTCATAAACCAATCATAATCTTCGCCTAGTTAGAGTAATTAAACTAATTCCCTTCGTCCACTCCTCGAGAGATACGACACTCGGAGAGAAAACTAACCCTTTACTGGGAAGGTTTACTACCCGAAAAACTACAATTGTCAAATGGCGCCGTTGACGGGGAGTGGCACGGCATTAGTTTAATTTCTTCTGATTAGCTTGGGTGAAGATTGGTTAGAACGATCTTCCCACTTCTTTTTGACCAACCACCCGTAATAATTATTATGGATAATTCCAGTGGTTATTACGGTCCGCCTTCTTACTACCAATCACCTAACCGCCCTCCGTACCATCCACCTTACCACCCACATCAGAACCCATGTAATGATGGCTACCAAGTCGATAATGGGTCTGACGACTATCCCTACCATGAGGAAACACCATATGACACCCCGTCTAGAAACTTTGGATATTCTCCATACCAATATTCTGATGGGGATAATTATGATGAACCTCATGGTGATCACGATGACTATGACCGATATGGGCCTATATACGACGATCAACCTGATCCGCTCGTCGAAGAAATCTTAAGATTAGAACAGAAAATCTTCTATTTCGACGAACTTTTATTTGCTGAAGGCTCGTGGTACGAACCACCTTACTCCTGTGACTACACTTTGTTTGCAGAAGAACAAATTGAAGCAAACAAGGTGGAAATTCGAGAAAGAGCAAAACTTCTTGAATCAGTCCGGAAGGAAAAGGAGTTCGAAAGGAGATTATGTGAAGGATCAGAATTGATGCAGAAAATGCTGGATGACTTCCAAAGAGAGAGACTAGAAGCTGAGGCTAAAGCGGATAAATTAGTCAATGATCTCTGCAAGGCTGTTGAACTTAAACGCTCCCTCCAATCTCAAGATCAAATGAGGGAGATTAATGTTCAAAAAGAGGCTCTAGAACCTAAGAACAACCCTGAACCATCCAACCATCAGGTGCCAGTTCTAGAAGATTCACCAAGTTCTTCACCAACACAAAAACCCGAGAGCATAATAACTCTCGCTAGGGCTACTGTGGAGATATTACCTGAATGTCCTCCCAGCCATGTCCCATCCAGCATAGTCGTACATGAGGTGGAACCAACTGAGGGACCTGACTCAGAACCACCTACGCTCATTCAAGGAAAGGAGGAGGAAGTTTTGCCTATGGCAATAAACGACCATCTCCTTAATTGTGTTGAAGACACACCTCTAGAGGAACCTGTTCTGGAGGAAGTAGAGCCCATTACCTGCCCCCAGGATTCCAATGTCCAAGAGTCTGAGCAGGAATCTACAAACGAGGAAATACTTTGCATAGAAAAACCAACTCTGTTTATAGAAACCTGTGTACATAATGCTTCATTTGAAGATTCAGACCAAACCTTCTTTGACTCCCTACTTGACGGGTGCGACTATGTCTGCCCGAAGGATGGTTGGAGCCAAAAGAGTTGGGATGAACTTCTGGTAAGTGACACTGAAGACTCTTCCTTGGGGGAGGGTACGATCATAATCATCAAACCACAAATGGATGGTCAGCCCATTGAAGACAAGGAAGAAATCAATATCGCTATGAAGGCCAATGATGTGGATCAACTAAGGAGACTTCCGCCCCCACCCATCTATACAAAGTCTCCTCCATTTATCCTGTTGCCACCAAGCCGCAGGGATGAGTCAAGGATCCTGGACCTTGACCGAGCAAAATATCAAACAAGGTGGCATCAGAAGAGAGTCAAAAGGGCCAAACTCTATGACTCTCGGATCGGAAAGTCATGGAAAAAGTGGGTGAGCGTCGAGCTACGGACGTTAAAGAAGCGCTTAACGGGAGGCAACCCGTCATTCAAATAACTAAAATAATTAGATAAATTCATTAGTTTTATTTGTTAGTCTTTGAGGTTTTGCTTGCCGCACCAGTTTTGGGGGCAAGAGTTATTTTGTTTGTTGTCTTTGCTTCTGCAGATGAGAGAATTGTAGGGCATACCTTACAGGGGGAGCGAAGAAGAGGTCTCACCTGGGGAAAACACAAGGTTTCTGCAACCTTCGCGGCTTCTTGATCCAGCATTCCTGGTTGAAATTAGCTACAGAGAGGATATTGACTTCCTCAGTAAATTCTCTTTTTCTCTACTACTTTGAACATGATTTGGATCCTTGATTGATTTTTATTTTGGAATTTCACAACATGACTCTTAAAACCCTTTTGAGAATATTTTATGCATTATTTCATATTTTCATCTATTATTTCAATCTTCATCTTTGAATTTTATAAGTATTGAGATAACTTAGTAATTGCATGTGAGCATTTCAACAATTAACTCCAATTCCAAAATACTATTAACCACGAGGGCGTGGTTCCATTTAAGTGTGAGGAGGTAAGAGTTCCTGGTTGAAATAATCTTCTTAGGAATTGTTTTGTCTATATATTTGTAGGAAAAGATTTTTATAGAATAGTCGTCAATTTTAATGGTTTGATTAATTAATCTTTTGATTATCACCCGTAAAAATTGGAAATTTTTAAACTTTTTATCAAACTTCTATTTTTACTCTAACCTTTTGGGAATGTTTTCTAAATTGATTTGGGATAAATTCACAATTGTCTAAGAGTTTTTAAGATCAATCAATTTTAAGTTGCTTTATTGAAAATCTTTTTGCTCATGCTCTTATGAGTATTTGTTGTTTCTTAAAAAGAGTTATTTTCAAAGTATAAGGGGTGATGTTTCAAAGCATACTTTGGTGAGACCGAGATTCTCGTTTTAGCCAAAAAGCAGTTGGTTCTAGGTCAACTGATGAGGCATGGTGAGTATGCCGAAAAGCACGTGGTTCCATATTGCGTGATGAGGCCTTTTGAGTGTTAGAGTAAAAAAGCATGCGGTTCTATGTCGTGTGATGAGACTTTCCAGAGTGAATATCCAAAAAGCTCGTGGTTCCATGTCAGGGGATGAGGTTATAATTTTTCTCGTGTCAACATGACAAAGTTATGCCAAAGAAAATTAAACCCTTACACTTTGACAAATACTTTTGCAAGAACATGTTTTCCAATATAGTCATTAAAAAAATTATTTGATCTTTAAAGTACTCTTACAAATGTAATTATCCCAAAGAAAGTTTGGAAAATTTTGGTTGTTTAGGTTGGTGTAAAAGTATTAGTTTGAGAAAATTCGTTTACATTTCTTGAAAGTTCTAAACGCAGCCTCCGTACTCAGTAAATCCACGGTTATTATAAGAGACTTCAAGACACACACACACGATGCTATAGCACTCTCTCTAACACAAACCAATGTAAGGTGCAGAATAAAGTAAAGATGCAACACAGAGAAATTGTTTACGCAGTTCGGAAACTTTCCTACTCTGCGGGGCCCACATCCGTGTAATAGCCCTTCCACTAAATCACCGTAATGATTACACCTTCAATAACAAGAGACTCAATCTATTGTATTGACTTAAATAACTTATGGATGACTTTGATAACAAACTCTGTTTGTATCATTCACTTCGGTTGGTTACACCAACTTCATGCATCTGGATGTGTTACGACCCTTTTCCAACACTTCATAGATCACCTGCTGGACAGCAGATCTTCCTGCTCTCTGAGACGTGTCTTCACCACTTGATCAACACAGATTGTCAAAGATTAACAACGCATGAATCAGACTCTGATCTTGGTAATTCTATGTTGCACAGGATCTTTCTCTCTCTCTCACCGAGGCGCTCATCCTAAGCAGCGCAGTGGTATATGTATATATATGTGGACAGCAACCAGAAACCCTAGTAGAGTCCTTCGCAATAATCATCAGCATGTGAGAGTCCTTCGCAGTGAGAGTCCTTCGCAATAACCATGAGCATGTGAGATGTCTTCTAGCTCGATCTGGACAAGTATGAGCATATCCTTCGTGAATCCTCAACATGGCAGGACGCTACAATCCCAAGCCAACTAGACAACTTATTCATACTATTTGTTTTTGTCATAAGGATAAGGCCAACTAAAAATAAAAAAATACAAACCCCATGCTACCCAGACTTTTGGTACGGTGTGTACACTATTATAGGAACTAACAATCTCCCCCTTTGGCCATCCTTTTGGACAAACACAAATAAACTAGACTCTCTGGCCGTTGAACCTCTTCTCCCCCTTTTTTGTTCAAAATATGCCAAAGTGTATTGAGAAATAACTGGGAAACAGAGAAGAGTAATATCCAACATTTAAGTAAGAGAGGTACATGATTTGTAACACATCCTAGAGTGGAGCTTGAGAGTGTACCTACACCATGTAAGAGGAAGATTTGCAATGGATCACAGCCCGAAAAGCATACAGACTTGGCAAGACAGGGAGACATGAAGACTCGGCAAACCAGGTTCAATAACTCAAAGAAAAGTTTGATAGCAGTCATAGCGGGAACTGTAAAGCATAAAGTTTGAAACCAGAAAACAGGGCAGAACTACCCCATCAGAATAATGTCAAGTTCTGAGATGCAAATGAGTAATGAAGATGAAACACTTATGTTGATAGTTCACCCTCCTCCTCCTTCTCCTGAGAGCTCTCCCCTTGAGCAGGTTCTCCCTCTGTTGCAGTATTGTCAGTCACAACTTCTCTAAGCCAGGTGAGATGCTTGTGCTCCTCCTCAAGTGCTGACTGTTTGGCCAGTGTCATCCTCATCTCTTCCATGTTTGCTTCAAGCTTGGCATCCAGATATTGTATCACAGCTGACACTTCTTGTTTAACAGAGCTTTGCATCCAGATATCCTCATCTCTTCCCTATTTACTCCATGTCATTGAAATGGTCTCCTTCAAAATGTCTGTAGTCAATCTGCAGTAGTGGTTCTGGTGGCTCCTCCTTATCAGCAGCGACTTTAACAAATCCTTGAGAAAGAAGCATTCCCATGGCCTGGGTGACAGTATTTTTGTGAGTGGTTGCAAGCCAGTGACATGTTGGTGTTGTTTTGCATGGCTCCCCTTTTTGATTTGGATGCTTCTCCTCACGCGCATTTTCCATTGCTTCTAGATTTGATGACCTCTTGTTGGATTGCTCCATGTGGCGTTCATCCCTCATGACTTTTATTTTTGGACTTTCTCCTTCATCATTACCTTTTTATGATTGGCTTCTTAGTAAGGTGCACATAGGCCCAGTTTGGATCTGAGAGTTTCAAATCTGTTTCCATCAAGGGCTTTTGTGAAGATATCTGCAAGTTGATCTTCAGTAGATACATGTTCCAGGCTCAAAATTTTGCGTTCCACCAGTTCACGTATGAAATGATGTTTAGTATCAATATGCTTTGTGCGGGAGTGAAGCACCGAATTTTTTGATATGCTGATGGCACTTGTATTGTCACAGTATACTGGAATAGTGTCGTTGTTGACTCCGTAGTCAGCCAAAATTGATTTCATCCATAATAGTTGCGCACAACAGCTGCCTGCAGCTATATACTCTGCCTCTGCTGTAGACAGTGACAAAGAGTTTTGTTTCTTGCTTAGCCATGCCACGAGATTTCCTCCTAAAAAGAAACAGCCTCCTGAAGTACTTTTCCTGTCATCTATATTCCCAGCCCAGTCTGCATCACTAAATGCCATGAGTTCTGCCATACCCCCTTTTGAGTACCAGAGTTCGAAATTTTGTGTGCCTTTCACATACTTCAGTGTCCTCTTAACTGCTTTGAGATGTGATTGTTTTGGGTTTGCTTGATATATGGCGCATACTCCAACACTGTAGCTCAAATCTGGTCTGCTTGCTGTTAGATATAGAAGACTTCCTATGATTCCTCTATATCTTGTTGCATCAACATCCTTGCCAGTGTCGTCTCTGCTGATTTTTTCATGTGTTGGACATGGTGTTCTAGCACTTTTGCTATCACTCATGTCAAACTTTTTCAGCATGTTCTGTGCATACTTGGTCTGTGATATGAAGATTCCTTCGGTTGTTTGTTTGATCTGAAGCCCTAGAAAGAATGTGAGCTCTCCTATCATACTCATTTCAAACTCCTTCTCCATCACTCTGACGAACTCATCAGCTCGTGCCTTTGATGTAGAACCAAACACAATGTCATCCACGTATATTTGTGCAACCAGTAAGTTTGAGTTGTACCAAATATAGTACATTGTGTTGTCTGCTCCCCCTCGCTTGTATCCTTCTTCAATAAGATAAGTTGTTAGTCTATCATACCAGGCCCTTGGGGCTTGCTTCAGCCCATACAATGCTATGTGGAGTTTGTATACATGGTTTGGATGCTTTGAATCTTCAAATCCTTTGGGTTGTGCTACATAGACTTCTTCTTTTAGATACCCGTTCAGGAAGGCAGTCTTCACATCCATTTGGTATAGCTTCATATCTAGAACACACGCCATACTAATAAGCATTCGTATGGACTCAAGTCGTGCTACAGGTGTAAATGTTTCTTCGAAGTCTATACCCTCCATCTGTGTGTATCCTTGAGCAACTAACCGAGCTTTGTTTCTGATAACATTCCCTTCTTCATCGGTCTTGTTTTTGTAGATCCACTTTGTGCCAATGACATTTACTGTGTCTGGTTTTGGTACAAGCTCCCACACTTTGTTTCTCTCAAACTGCTCTAGCTCTTTGTGCATGGCATTTATCTAAGCTGCATCTGTCAAGGCTTCTTTAATGTTTATGGGCTCCATGGATGACGTATAGTAAGCCTTTGTCATCTGTAGGAAATCAATCTTCTTGTTTCTTGTTCTTATTCCTTCAGTGGGTGTGCCGATGATGTTTTCAGGTGGATGACTCTTCTGAATATGAGTAGGGACGCTGCTGGTGATAGGTACGTCTGTTTGAGTATCTTGCCATTTTTCACTTTCTGTCTCTTCAGCTTCTTCTCCAGTCTCTTCGATGTGTTCCAGTGGCTCTATCTGATCGTCCACTGGTTTTTGAGAGACCTGTTCATCTACTACAACATTTATTGATTCCACAATAGTTTTTGTGTGCTTGTTGTATACACGAAAGGCCTTACTGTTAGGTGAGTATCCAACAAAAATGGCTTCGTCACTCTTGGATTCAAATTTTCCCCTCTGTTCTCGGTCCCTTAGGACATAGCACTTTGCTCCAAAGATGTGAAAGTGTGCCACACTCGGAGTTCTTCCTTTCCATAATTCATATGGTGTAGCCTGCGTTCCACTCCTGAAATACACTCGGTTAATTGTATAGCATGCTGTATGAACTGCCTCAGCCCACAAATTCTATGGTAAGTTGTATGTGTTGATCATTGTGCGGGCCATCTCATGTACGTGTCGAATTTTCCTCTCAGCTACTCCATTTTGTTGTGGAGTTTTTGGTTCTGAAAATTCATGGCTTATTCCGTGGAGATTGCAAAATTCTTTAAATGGTCCATTGTCAAATTCACCTCCATGATCACTTCGTACCCGCACTACCTTCTTTATTTTCAGTTGTTTTTCATTCTGAACCTTGTTGCAAAGAGCTGCAAAAGCATCCAGTGCATCGTCTTTGTGCTTTAAGAAGCTGATCCAAGTATATCTGGTGTAGTCATCTACTACTATGAGAATGAATCTCTTTCCTCCTATACTTTCTGTCTGCATAGGCCCAAAAAGATCAATGTGCAGTAGTTCCAGTGGTCGTTTGGTTGTTCTCATTAGCTTCTTTGGGTGACTCTTTCTAATCTGCTTTCCTTTCTGACAAGGTCCACATACTTGATCATCAGCCTGTGTGATTTTTGGCAGCCCTCGAACTGCCCCTGAGTTTGATAGCACTTTCAGGTCTTTATAGTTCATATGCCCCAGTTTGTAGTGCCATAATCTGTCGTCTCTTTCACTTGCAGCATAACATAGGATGTTTGGAATTACTTTATAGCAATTGTCAGCAGTTCTGTCTCCCTCTAATACCACCAACTTGTTTCTATCCTTGATGCGACATTTCTGTTGTGTGAATACCACTTCAAGTCCTTGATCACAGATCTGACTAATGCTCAAAAGATTCACTTGCAGTCCCTGAACAAGCCATACATTCTTGATTGGTGGCAGTCCAGATACATGCAGCATTCCATTCCCGATAATCTGTCCATGAGCTCCACCACCAAATCTTACATTCCCTCCTTTAATTGGTTGTACATTTGTCAGGTTTTGTTTGTCTCCAGTCATATGATGAGAACATCCACTATCCATGAGCCACTGATCAGGTGTGACTCGATAGCACAGATTTGCACATGAGGCTTGGTGTTTGGGTACCCATTTCGTTCTGGTTTTGACATGCCTTGTTGTACCACCTTTCCTTCTCTTCAAGTTTTTTAGTTTGTAACATTGGCGTTTGATGTGCCCCTTTTTCCTGCAGTAGAAGCAAATATAATTGAAATAAGGATTCAGAGAATAAGTATTCCTTACATGATAGTCTGGACGCTGAAACACTTTCTCTTTGCCCTTGCTCAGGTTGCATTCTGGCAGCTCCTTTGTGTCTGGTTGTTTGGTGATGTCCTTTGTTTCTCTGGTGAACAGATCCAGTGGTGTTTTGCTGCCTTCAGATCATGTGTGCCCAATTCCAGATCTATCCCCATAGAATTTTGACGAGCTCACCATCTCCTCGATCTTTTCAGCCCCTGCACTCTTCATCCACCTTTGATAGCTTTTAAGTTGAGTGAGTTCATATTTCAGATCAGACTTTTCTCCTTCAGTTTGAATCAGTTGCTGTTTGACTTTATCTAGTTTCTTTCGGAGATCTTCTACTTCCACAGCCAGTTGATTCTTTTCTAAGATGTTCTTCCTATGGACAAGAAGAAGTTCTGTCCACTTTTCTTGTAGTACTGTGAGTTGTTCAGCAGCATCCTCAGTGTTTTCTTCTTTGTACTGGGTGACAAAGGCACAATGGCTATTCCCCATGACATCCTCTGTTTCTTCCTCATCATCACTCGAAGTTGACATGAAGGCTTGCCTCTTCTTTTTGAGATTGTTAGGACATTCAGATTGAATGTGACCGAACCCACCACATTCAAAGCATTGAGGCCCCTTTTTCTTGAGGTCATCATTTGATGGTCTTACCTCCCTTGGTCGTGTATTTCTAAATTGTATTCCTTTGGATGATTCACCTTGGAAGTTGTTCTTCCCTCTCTTCTGTATCCATTGCTTTTTGAACTGTCTAGTGAAGAGTGACAGTTGCTCCTGAAAGTCCTCGTCTTGTGCTATATCATCTTCATTGTCATCCACATCAGCCAGACTGTGAAAAGCAATCGGCTTCTCATTCTTTTTCCGTTTGAGCTCTTCATTCATCTCCAACTCAATAGTCTCTAAATTCCCCATGAGTTGATCCAGAGTCATATGCTTGATGTCATGTGCCTGACGAATTGCTTTGACATCCATAGCATAGGATTCTGGTAGAGCTCTCAGAACCTTCAAAACTAAACTGTCTTGAGTGAATGGACGCTTCAGATTTTCAGCTTCATTTGCCAGCTCCCTTACTTTTCCATGAAAATCAGCTATCCTTTCCTTATCATCCATGCGCAGGCTTTCATATTTAGTCATAAGAATCTAGATTTTTGTTGTCTTGACTCTCTCGTCCCCTTCATGTGTGGTTTCAAGAATTTCCCAGGCTTTCTTGGCCTCAGTGCAGTTCGAGATGAGCCTATATTGTGAACTATCAACAGCTCCAAATAATGCATTTAGTGCTCTGTCGTTGCATTCAGCAGCTTGGGCTTCTTCCTTTGAGTATTTTTCGAAAGTTTTGATCACTTTCACACCTTCTGCATTTGTTTCTGTTGGCTCTGTCCACCCAGTTTCTATGATTCTCCATACTCTGCCACCTTGTGATTTCAAGAACGCTCTCATACGTCCTTTCCAAAAGTTATAGTTTGGTCCTCTCAACAGAGGTGGTCGTTGAAATTTGCACCTTCCTCCATATCTCCCATGATCGTCTTCTTCAGCTAATAACTTAAGCTGACCTAGCTGTGATACCAATTGAAAGTTCTAAAGGCAGCCTCCGTACTCAGTAAATCCACGGTTATTTTAGGAGACTTCAGGACACACACACACGATGCTATAGCACTCTCTCTAACACAAACCAAAGTAAGGTGCAGAATAAAGTAAAGATGCAACACAGAGAAATTGTTTACGCAGTTCGGAAACTTTCCTACTCTGCGGGGCCCACATCCGTGTAACAGCCCTTCCACTAAATCACCGTAATGATTACACCTTCAATAACAAGAGACTCAATCTATTGTATTGACTTAACCAACTTACGGATGACTTTGATAACAAACTCTGTTTGTATCATTCACTTCGGCTGGTTACACCAACTTCATGCATCTGGATGTGTTACGACCCTTTTCCAACACTTCATAGATCACCTGCTGGACAGCAGATCTTCCTGCTCTCTGAGACGTGTCTTCACCACTTGATCAACACAGATTGTCAAAGATTAACAACGCATGAATCAGACTCTGATCTTGGTAATTCTATGTTGCACAGGATCTTTCTCTCTCTCTCACCGAGGCGCTCATCCTAAGCAGCGCAGTGGTATATGTATATATGTGGACAGCAACCAGAAACCCTAGTAGAGTCCTTCGCAATAATCATCAGCATGTGAGAGTCCTTCGCAGTGAGAGTCCTTCGCAATAACCATCAGCATGTGAGATGTCTTCTAGCTCGATCTGGACAAGTATGAGCATATCCTTCGTGAATCCTCAACATGGCAGGACGCTACAATCCCAAGCCAACTAGACAACTTATTCCTACTATTTGTTTTTGTCATAAGGATAAGGCCAACTAAAACTAAAAAATACAAACCCCATGCTACCTAGACTTTTGGTACGGTGTGTACACTATTATAGGAACTAACATTTCTAACAATATGGGTGGGAATCTAAAGGTTCATTTCTTCTTAACAAAAAGGTTGATGGCTATCTTATTTCTTCTTTCCTTCATAATATGTAGCTTAAACCTTCCCTCTGCAATTATTAATTTGCCTTTATACTTGTAATTATTCAATTTGTTGCTTGAGGGCAAGCAACGTTTAAGTGTGAGGAATTTGATAAGTCCGTTTCGTTCTTATCATTTACATCATATTCTAAACGTTATTGCACATAAATAGTATTAAATCATCTCATAAAATGTGATTTTAATGGATAAAACTCTCATTTTCGTTCCAAGAGTCATAAAATGGGATTCCACATGAAATCATCATAAATCATCCATTTTTGTTCAAGTATTTGAGAAAAAGGGAATAAATCATCAAAGGATCAAGATTTGAGCTTGAACGAGCTTCCAGGAGGTCAAAAATAGTGTTCGGGGCCAAAACGAAGCGAAATTGGGCTAAAATCACGAACCAGCCGCGAAGCCCAACAAGAGAAAGGCCTAAGGCGTCCAACTTGGACGCTTGGCCAAGTTGGACGCTTGGGAGTTGGACCCTTGGGCTTAATTGAGACTCAAGAATGACATGTGGCAAAATCTGGTTGGCCGGGACAGCTCAGGCGTCCAGATCTGGACGCTTGGACTTGGACGCTTTGACTGGGACGCCTTGGCTTCGTTCCTATAAATACAACACGATTCTTCTCATTTTTATCATCCACTCTCAACCCAATTTCGGGTTCCACTCTCCCAATTGCTTAAAATATTTTGTATATTAGGTTAAGTAGTAGTTTTAGTGTATTTTCGGAGGATTTGACTCCAGATCTGTTCTGTCCCGCTTTTACGGAGGTTGTAAGTTTCCTTTATTTAATAAAATGCTATTTTAATTTATGTTTGCATAGTATGAGTTAGGGTCCGGATCTCTGGGTCCGGACTAGTTTGGTTGTTTATTTTTTTTATGTTAAATTAATGTTGGAATGGTTAATCTATTGTTCTTGCCTTATTTAGTTAACTAAACTCGAAAGATTTAATTGGCCATTTATTGAGAAAATATTGTATGCCAAAAGGCTATGATATTCAAGTGCAACGGATTAAGTACAAATCTAGAAATGGATGAGTAGTAATAGAAATATTATTATTCCAACTGTTAATTTAATATGATAAAATAGATCCAAATGATGTCGAGACCGTAGGTCCAGATCTATACTTATACTATGTAAAATTTATTTATTATTTTTACTCTGCTCCCTTTTTTTAATCGTTTCGAGAAGACTTTCATAAACTAATCATAATCTTCGCCTAGTTAGAGTATTTAAACTAATTCCCTTCGTCCACTCCTCGAGAGATACGACACTCGGAGAGAAAACTAACCCTTTACTGGGAAGGTTTACTACCCGAAAAACTACAATTGTCAAAAATCTCACTATTTCGTTCTGTATATAAATCTAAATCTCCAATAAAATGAGTAATAATATTGTATACTAAGTATGCTAAAGCTGCTGGCTGTGGTTGACCTCTATCGTCTAAGACTATTTGTCCTTGGGTATCTGTTTTTATTGCATTTACAATTTTTTCTTGCATATTAGTACTTAATAGTTTGTCCCACCATGTTCTTAGTTCTCCTGTGAATCCTAGAACTATATTTTCTGCTGCATCTTTTTCTGTAATTTCTACTTTTTGCTTATATATTTTCTACAATTACCATTTCTTTTGTCATTTGTATTATTTCAATTTCGGATAAATCATCTAAATTCCATTCATAAATATTTTTAGCATTATATTGTTTTTGTCTTTTATTTAATATTTTAAGATCATCTGGCTACTTTCTAGTGACCATATGTCTTTCTAAGTTGTTTATAGATAATTCTAAATGATCATCCGATTCTGAGGATTGGTCAAATGGATCAAAAGGATTAAATTCTCTTTCTAAGTTTGAAGAGGATGGACTATTATATTCAGATAAAATTGTTACTTTGTTTTTACCCGTTTCTCTTGAGGTAGTAGATTCTGCTAGGCGTGGGCGTGAAATCCGTTCCCATTGGACCGTTCCGAAAAAACCCCGGATCCGGTTTGTAATTGTACCAATATATTGGAACACATTTTTTTGCCCCGAACCCGTTCCGTCCCAATAGCAAATGGGACATGAGCGGGACAACTTAAATTTATACCGATCCGTCCTGTTTGTCCCGTTTCATCTACTCTACTAATATATAATACTAATTCCCATTCCACTCATTGTTTTTTGTTGGATGGCTAGATGTTTCCTTTTTTTGAATGAAATTTCACCCTCTTCCCCTACTTATATTTGCGATTAGGACAAAGTAAGACACCTCGAATCCGTCCCGTTCTATTTCGATCCCGAATTTTATGGGACAAACCAGGATAAGATTGTAATCCGAACCGTTCCGGACCGTTTATATATAACGGGACAAGACGTAGGACAATCTAAAATCCTGTTGAGTGTTACTTCAAACTTCCACATCGGTGGGATAGGAAAATTGAGAAGGGATTGGAGCCTATAAATAGAGAGGGTGTATAAGCTTCCAACACACAACACAATCCTTCAATCTATATAATTGTGTATTAGATTTTAGTTTGTGAGTGTCAAATATTGGAGAGGGTTTATAATTTTTCCGTGCAAAAATTATTAGTGAGATTTTATCCCAGAGGGGGTCGTGGAGTAGGTCTTGAGGTGCCGAACCACGTTAAATATTTTGTGTGCTCTTTTTTTTTCCTTTCCATTTGTTTGCAGTAGGGGGCCTAACAAGTGGTATCAGAGCTAGGTGATCTGGTAATTATAATTCTTAGTATGCTCTGTGGTTGCAGCTTTGATGGTATACTAATTACAGAGTTGCAGTCTAGGGTGAAGGAGATAGAGCAAGGAGCAAGAGGAGGGAGTGCCACTTCAGTGGAGGAGGTGGTGGTCTAGTCAGCAGAGGTGGGTCCGTGAGTGCCACTTCAGCAGTTTGTGGGTCCCGAGTTCCACATCATCACCCAGTCATCGCCACGTCAGTGGGTCTAGTCATCAATGGGTCCCATCGCCACGTCAGCAGGTCCAGTCATCATGTGGGTCCCGTTGGTGATTTTTTGGAGAGAAGTTGGTTCTGACTAATTTTGACGTCCTGATTCCATTTTTGAGGCCAGTTTCCTCAAATTTGGATTGTTTGGTATTGGTTAATTACTGCTTGAGTGGTACTATGACTACCTTGAAGTTTGAAGTTCCGTTATTTAATGGAAGAGCAGACTTCATGTTGTGGCAATGCACGATTCAAGACTATTTGCTGTAGCAAGGTCTTGAACTAGCATTACAAGATGAGAAGCCAAGTGATATGAAAGAATCAGAGTGGAGTACAATCCAAAAGAAGGCTGTCAGCACAATTCGGTTGGCACTGTCCCCACATATTAAAGTGACAGTGCTGAAAGAGACATCACCAAAGAAGCTGTGGGAAACGTTGGAGAGCAAGTTTGCATAGAAGACACTTACTAACCGGTTGATGATGAGGATGGACTTGTACTCACTGAAGATGGAAGAGGGAGGTAGCATAACTGATCACATCAACAAGTTTAATGAGCTAGTATCAAGGCTGTTAAATGCAGGGGAGACTATCAAGGATGAAGAGCAAGGGCTGCTTCTACTGGCTTCACTACCAAAATCCTTTAAGCCGTTTGTGGAGTCAATGATAGCAGGAAGGACTACACTGCGACTAGATGAGGTGATGACTGCCTTGAAGGAGAGTCAAAGGATGATGGGAGGTGAAGAGTCTTCTGGGGGCAGTTATTTACTAGCTGCTGTGAGTGTTGAGAAAGGGAGGAAGAAGAAGAGTGACCAACTTTGGAGAAGATCTCAGCTGAGAGACATGAGCATTGTTAGGTGCTATTACTGTGAAAAGTTGGGTCACACGAAGAACGGTTGTCCAGAACTCAAGGAGGATTTGCAGATTCTAAAGGAGAAGAAAGGCAAATCAAAGGAAGCTTCTTCCGCAAATGTGATCACTTATGAAGATGATCTCTTCTGAAGATAAGAGTACTACTGGACAAAAGATTCTGCAGGATGGGAGTATCGCTGCAGAAATCGCAAATGATGTAGGACTTTGAATTAAGGGGAGATTTGTTGATTGTTACTTCAAAGTCCCACATCGGTGGGATAGGAAAATTGAGAAGGGATTGGAGCCTAAAAATAGAGAGGGTGTATAGGCTTCCAACACACAACACAATCCTTCAATCTATATAATTGTGTATTAGATTTTAGGTTGTGAGTGTCAAATATTGGAGAGGGTTTGTAATTTTTCCGTGCAAAAATTACTAGTGAGATTTTATCCTAGAGGGGGTCGTGGAGTAGGTCTTGAGGTGCCGAACCACGTTAAATATTTTGTGTGCTCTTTTTTTTTTCCTTTCCATTTGTTTGCAGTAGGGGGCCTAACAAATCCGGACCGTCCCGATCCGTGCCCACCCCTAGATTCTGCTGTGGCGGAATACTCTTGTTGGTCCATTCTAAGTTTGGATAGTGATTCTTTAATCTTTCCAGATACTTGTTCTTCTATTGTTTTTTGTAAATCTTTATCCAAAGAATAATCTAAATCTTCAGTAACTGTTTTTGGTGTTATTGCAGGTATAACAAATGGGTTAAAAGGGGAAGGTAGAATTCTCTCGTATTGTCTGTATGCTTTATTTTCAGGAGTTATATTGTATTCATTTGTAAACGTTTGGAATCTTTTTGACTTCAAATTATTTCCTGTTTTAAATCCTACTGGTGATGGTGATTCAAAGATTTCTATATTGTCAATATTGTCAATTTCTTTCTAGTTTCATCCATTTTTCTTCTACTTTATCCATTTGTTGTCCTAATCTATATAATGTTATGTTTGTCCAATTTGATTGTAAATGTAATTCTTTGACTATTTCTTTAGCTTTTTCATTTAGATTTTCTGGATGTACAACTGGTTGCATTCCATTTTGGATAAAGCTATTTGTACCCCACATTTTCTACCCCATTTTGTACCCCGCAGCTTTACACCAACACTTTGTCATGTTGGTGTAAAACTAATTTTTATTAATGCACTAACAATTTGTGTCCGTGTAAATTTTTGTTAACACACCAACACTTGTGTCGGTGTAAACCATCAAAATGTTTGTGTATAACTGCAGTGTACAAATGGGGTACAATTTGTGGTGTAAGTGTAGCATGACCCTTCCATTTTGTACTCCGTCTCTTGCAAAAAATGCTCTATTAAGAGGTGGTCTTTCAGATTCATACCATTGGTCACTAGCAGTTCCCTGTTCTGTTACTTTATTCCATTTTCTTATTCTTTTTGTAATTGTACTTACTTTGTATAAATAATCATTTTCTAAAACCTCAAAAAATGGTACATGGTGTTCTAATTGTATGCAAAATTCATAATATTCTTTTTTAATTATTTCTCTTTCTTCCTTGTTATATGTTTTTAACAATAATTCTCTATTTTCCTTGTTTTCATCTTTTATGTATTCAGATTGTAATTTAGTTTTGTCTAAAACGAATGTTATTTTAAGGTATTTATTGTAAACTCACTATCTTTGTAAGGATGTGTAAACATTCCTTCTCTATGAATCCTTCTGTATTAAACTGCGTTCTAGAGGTTTGGTTAGGGGCTTCTGCTTCACTAAATAATCCTTGACTTGGTTTATTTGACGTTACTGACTCTAATGGAGATTCTTCATTTTTATAAAAATGTTTGTCTGTTGAGACTGAATTCCTAGATGGTTGGTATGTTCTTGTGGTTGAATGATCAAAAGAATTGGTCCTTTTAAACTTTCAAAGGAAGACATGGTGATAATAATGAAAAAACAAACCCGGGGAATATTAAATCAAAGGAAGACATGGTGATAATAATGAACGAACCCAGGGAATATTAAATCAAAGGAAGACATGGTGATAATAATGGAAATACAAAATGAAATAATAATTATTAGAATGAAAAAATTAAATAAACTTACAAATTAATTCTAGAGAATGATTTGATATTATTGATCATAACTGGTTACAAGCTTGCTTTGTACTCGTTACAAACTGTTATGGATTTTATAGTAGGATATTAGATTATATATTTATTAGTTTATTATTATTATTATTATTATTATTATTATTATTATTATTATTATTATTATTATTATTATTATTATTATTATTATTATTATTATTATTATTATTATTATTATTATTATTATTATTATTATTATTATTATTATTATTATTATTATTATTATTATTATTATTATTATTATTATTATTATTATTATTATTATAGTGTAATTTAGGTTTTATTAGGTGAGCAAAATTATAAGCTCTTTCAAGGTTTCTTTACGGTTCTTTCCCTTGTTAGCGTTAGGGTTTCCCTATTCCCTATATATAGAGATGTAACCCCTTTAGAATAATCAATCAATAAACAAATCAAAACCCTAATTCCTTCTCCCCTCTCGGTTCGCCGATTCCCTCTTCGCCTCAATTCTTCTTCTTCCTCGTCCCATATTCTCAGGAGCTTGAAGACGTTCTAAGTCTTCTCTATCCCGATACGAGTTCGTATCATTGGTGCTCTCGTTGATTCGAACACCCCAAAAAAAAGAGAAAAAAAACCAAAAAACCCAAAAAAAAAATTGATTTGCTGTAGATTTATCGTCGCTGAATTGTGGTTGCCGCACCAGGTTCATTCTGCTAATTCTTTTGGGTTCTTTGATTCGCACTGCGGAAAGGTTATTTGCTCCGTATATCTGAGCAGTTGCTCCGGAAAGGTTATTTACATCAGATCCCATATATAAAAGGCAGCAACTGGTGAAATCTGAGCAGGTACTCACGCCGCATAGCAATCCTTAGTAGGGGTGGGCACGGGCCGGTCCGAATCCAAATTTATATAAACCGGACTCGGCTTGTTTTTATTAAAACGGTCCGGGCCGGAACGGGTTTTCAAAATATTAAAATTGGAACCGGACCTAACCCGGCTTGTTTGAAACGGGCTGATTCCACGGGTCCGAACCTATCATAAAGTGTACACCCCATGATCATCCAACAACAACAACAAAAAGAAGACAACCACATTTTGGAATTATAATGTCAATAGGTTTCAAAAAGAGCAAAATTGACAATCTTCATGGCTTCCAAAAAATCCAAAAAACCTGCAAAAAACAAAATTTTAAAATCAACCATATTCCACACACAAAAATATGCAAATGATTAAAAAAGTTCAATATTTAATCTACCTCCTTCACATGCAATTACGTCTTGATTATCTCGTCTTTACTCTGTAGAGAAAATATAATTATATGATTAAATTAGTTTCCAATAATGTATAAAAGACTAAGGGGCTATTTGTTTGAGCCTCTTAATGGTTCAGATGTCTGAATGGTTAAGAGATTTGCCTCTGAATGGTTAAGTATTATACAGAGTCTGAATGGTTAAGACCTTTTATCTGAATTGATCAGACATTTGCCTCTGAATAGTTAAGCAATATACTAGCTCTTAATGGTTCAGACCTCTTACTGGTTCAGCACTTAATGGTTCAGACCTCTTACTGGTTCAGCACTTACCGATTCAGAAGTTTCCAAACAGCCCCTAAAAGTATATATAAACTAATGTTAGTGAATTGATAAATAAGACCGCACATCCTTTATGCTTTTTAGATATTTCCATTGATTGAAGCTGAAGAACACTTGAACTCAATGTTGATTCTTTGTCCTTCTTATGCTTTGTGCCAAAAAAACATGACAAAATTAATTGGAAGGACCGAAAGAGTTACTAAAATTAGTTCAGAGTTCAGACTCTCTGTTTTCTCACTTCTGCGGTTCTGCACTACGATGGGAATATGGAAGGACCGAAAGAGTTACTAAAATTAATTGGAATAGGCGGGTATACCATATATTTACTAAAAAAATATTAAAAATAATATTAGTATTTAAAAAATGGTCCGGTCCGGGTCCCAAACAATTTCAAAATGGGGAACCGGACCGGCCCTAAAATCTATAGGAACCGGACCTACCCGGACCGTTTTAAATTTTTGAAAAGATGACCCGGACCTAACTCGGCGTGAACCTGGCGGTTCGGTTCCGACTCGCGGTTCCTGGACCCGAATGCCCATCCCTAATCCTTATTTTTGGGCCCCAACTTTTGCCGCAGACCCTAAGAAATTAAATTGATTTGTTACAATAGTCTGGGTTTGCTTTGACCCACTTATGGAGTATTAATTCAATACTTTAGTGCGACTTATACTTCTGCCTTGGATGAAGTGAGTAAGTGGATACCAGATTTGAGTGCATTGCTTTTTCGTTCTTTTTTTTGATCCGTCTTGCCACAACTATGGTCTCGATTTTGGATGAAATTATTGTGACCATGGACGATGCTTTGAACAAACTTCTTGGTGTGTTGAAGAATATCTTTTATGGAAGAGCTGAGTTTCACGAAGGTGTCTGTATAGCTTATGATCACGTGGATGAGATTTTGAAGACATTCCACTGATTTCATCATCTTTTAGATCTACCGTATTCTGATTCTGAGTTATATGCATTCAATGTGGAAATCTCTTGCTCGATACAATATTTGGTGCGTGGTACTCCTATGGCATTGAGTGATATTCTCTTGGAGTTAAAAAGTTTCAAACTAAGGATGGTGAACGCTATAAGGAATCTTCTCGGCATTCCCATTGCTTTACCTGATCTGGTCCCCATAACCACTCTACACAATCCTACATCTACTGATGTGGAGTGTACAATTGCAGTGAGAGTTCCTGCAGTTGATGCTGATGGTGTTTCTGTTGACAGTATTGTTAATGCCTTTCCACCGGATCTTGTCGCTGTTGATACGCACGTAGATGCACTGGGTAAGGAAGAAGTTGCAAAGGATCCAACAATGAGCAATGTCATCATCGCATGTAGCCTTGTGCCTTCGTCCAAATTAAGCGGCCCAAGTAGCAGATGTAAATTATACGCGAGCGGGCATCTCACTGTCCTTTGATATCATCCAGTCCTCTGCCCATGCGAATATAGTGGAGTCCGGGCATTGGGGTTCACCCCCGGTAGCTAAGTTTATATTTGCTCTTCTCTCTTATGTCCGTCGATGTACTCCAATTTGCTGGCTTTATGAAGATCTATCATCAAGTGGGCATAATTTTTGGGTCAACATTTTCTCTCCAGTCTCAAAGCATGAGTGGGAACCTCCACCTTGAGGACAAGGTGGTTTTCTAAGGGGGTGAGAGTGTTATGGATTTTATAGTAGGATATTAGATTATATATTTATTAGTTTATTATTATTATTATTATTATTATTATTATTATTATTATTATTATTATTATTATTATTATTATTATTATATTGTAATCTAAGTTTTATTAGGTGAGCAAAATTATAAGCTCCTTCGAGGTTTCTTTACGGTTCTTTCCCTTGTCGCTTTTATTGAACCGTCAGGTTAGCGTTAGGGTTTCCCTATTCCCTATATATAGAGATGTAACCCCTTTAGAATAATCACTCAATAAACAAATCAAAACCCTAATTCCTTCTCCCCTCTCGGTTCGCCGATTCCCTCTTTGCCTCAATTCTTCTTCTTCCTCGTCCCATATTCTCAGGAGCTTAAAGACGCTCTAAGTCTTCCCTATCCCGATACGGGTTCGTAT